CTCCTCTCCTCTCCTCTCCTCTCCTCTCCTCTCCTCTCCTCTCCTCTTCTTCTTCAATCTAATGGTGGTGTCTTCAGTACAACATGGATTTTTTTTTCTTTAATTCACTCCAGGTTTTAATACTGTCTATTTACTAATTTTTTGCCACTTTAAGAAGTTACGACAAGATGAATCATAGCAATGCTGTTTCTGAGAATCCCTTTGTCAGTGTTTTGAAAAATGAAGTGATATATTCAGAATGCATGTTTCAGTTTGAATGATAATATCTGGATTTGTATATAGAAAATTGTGTTTCAAATGCTGTTTTAATAACTAAACTGCTTTTTGTAACATAGGTAAGCATAATTTTTCATGTCCTTACGAAATGCCATAGTAGTGACTTTACCAGCTGTACATTTACATTGTAAATATTCTATTAGTATTTTAAAAGGCAGCAGGCAACCCATGCATTTTTGCCTTTTGTTTTAAGCACTGGTGTCTGCCTATCATCACAAAGTCTGGACTGCACAAATTATTTTCCAGTATTTTCATTATTCTTTTAAATACTCTGGATATTTAGATTTAATATTTATTCTATGAGCTGGGGAGTATTATTTGCCTGCCTGTCTTTTTGAGTGAATGTTCTTCCAAGGAGTAACAGGTGTCAAGTCTCCCAGGAACTTCTCGACGACCAGAATGTCATCAAGATACTTTTACTGAAAACTGCGTGGTAAAAGTTCTAATTAAGAGTCTGTTGAAATCCCAACATGAAATAAAACACACCATTGTTTCAATTAGAAACCAAGTTAATATCTTCCAGCTGCCTTTTTTTTCCCTTAAAAAATTTTATGGTTAAAACTCTTGAAGAAGCTATTCTAGTTGGATTTTAGACAGTGTAGATTTGTTTCCCTCATGGCTGTGCTTAAGATGTGGATTTCTTATTAAAAGAAAACTCCACTACTAAGCCCATTGCTCTTAGCTATCTTTTTTAAAACACCATGTGCTGGAAGTTCACAAAGGACACAAATAGATGGGAGGTTTCATCAGAGACAAGGGATTGTACAGAACCAGAAACATTGAATATTTTGTGCAAAATTGCAAGATTCACTCTTAGGGTCACTTTCATCTTTATTAATTATAAAAATACTTTATTATGCAAATAACTTATTTTAGTTATCTTCAGTGAGATCTTTCAGAGTAACATGCTTAAAAGTATTTTTAGGCAGGATTTAAAATTCTTTTTTCATTACTAACTGCGTTTTTAGGGAGGATTTAAAATAAAATAATGTATACACTGCTTAAGTATTCACAGAACGAAAACATTGGGTCATCAGAATGTTGCTGGGTGTAAAAGATAGGAGGGAAGGGAGGAAAAAATTGCTTTTCCTGGAGTTTGCAGTGTTGTAGAAGAAATGTAGGGGTTTTATTTTATTCTAGTGAAATATTAAGATGCTTTTAACTGGCATTTCTGTAAAATACAGGACCTGATTCTTCATTTTCTTATTCCAGTTTTGCATAGATAGACCATGATTGCAAGCAGGCTAGTGTAACGTTATTTGCCAGCACTGGGGGGAGACTGAATCCTAAGTTGGACCTGCCTGATGACATAGGAAATCCTGTGATGTATTGTAATGGGAGGATGCTTCTATGGGGATGTAGTTATGTAGCAAAGGTGTGTTTTGTACAATTACTTTCCATAACAGAAGTAACTGAGCTGTGACTTGCACAGTTTTGCCTATTCAACTACATATTGAGTAGAGGCCTCTGTTGGGTCAACTCTGGAAGTTAGGAAGGACCCTTGAACGTACTCTTGACTGATCTGTCCATATCAGCAGAAATGTTTAGCAAATCTACAAGTCCCCCGGCTGTTCAGTCAGCTTCAAGCAGATTGGGACAAAACTTCATGCACAGAAGGATCATCCATTATGTGCGGTCTGAAAAGTTTTCTAAATTAACATGAATGTTAGTCTGCGACCAGTGGTGCAGCATCTTCAGCACAGCATGCCCCTCATCACTGATAATTACAGGTAGTTTATCAGTTTAGTTGAAATGGAGTTTTGCAGCTTACCATTTCAAATAATTTTCTTTTCATCACATTTCCCATGAGACTCCCTTCTCTTTTTGTGTAAGTTTTGAAATCTGGGCTAGTAGCAATTCTTGCTAGTAGCAATCTTTTCTTTTGGAATTCTCCTGAAAACATCAAAAGATGGCAAAACCTTTCTGCTTCTGGGGAGGTTTGTTGAGAATAAATTACTATCTAACTCCACTTTCTCTATAGAGCTATTTGAAATTTAAAAAAAAAGCAGAAGAAATGTGGGTCTTTGTAAGGAATCTGCATCCTTTGTATGGATTTCAGCATTAAGGTGCAGTTTTATCAATATTTTATTAAAAACAAACAAAAAAACCAAACAAAACCTCCACTTGTTTTTCCTGGGTTTGTAACTTGAGTTTTAGGAATAAGATTCTTTATTTCTGCCATTACTCAAAAAGCTCTTCCAAAGTTTTTTTTAAGCAAAATTCCTTTGATAAAGCCCATAAAAAATAAAATTACTAGGTGAGTCAGAAATAACAGATATATTTGAACCCCTGATATTGCATACCAGCATTTGATTTAGTATGGCAAATGCCTGAGAGCAAGGCTTTTGGCATGTTATTTTTATATTTGATTTGTAACACATATTTGTTTTAAGCAAAAATAGAAAAATTTCTCCTTATCTTTGTACCCTCTGTAGCCTTTTCTATATCATCTTCTCCTACATTTTCAAAGCTAGACACCTGTTCTAAAGGTATTAGTATCAGCTTATATCCTTTTTCTTGCCGTGATGGGTGTTTCTTTACAGCATGTTTCATTCTGCTTACTCACCTTTCCTTGATTAGAAGTAAAAGAACATGATCAATACCAGAATAAAGCAGGGACAGACAGTGCTGTATAATTAATGTATCAGAGTACTCCTGCAGGAATATTCTAGCCAGTGTTAGGAAAGAATTTCAAGAAACGATTCCTCCAGTACTTGTGGTGCTGTCACTACCATATATCCCATCTATACCTGATGGAAAGAAAATATGTTGTTTGACACATTTCTGCATATCTGAAGAGTTAGAATGGGGAACTGCTGCTCCCAGTTGTCCAGAGTGTTAGATCATAGAATCGCAGAATTATTTGGGTTGGAAGGGACATTTAAATATCATCCAGACCAACCTTCCAGCCATGGGCAGGGAGAACATCTTTCACTAAATCAGGTTGCTCACGGCTCCATCCAGTCTGACCTTGAACCTTCCAATGTGGCCCATGCCAGTAGAAAACCCCACCGGGGTTTGTATCTGGTGTATAAGTGTATGATAGTTCTCTGCAACCATTGCAGTGTTTTACAGACATATATAACATTAATTAGACTAATAATTATAACTGTCTTGAAGTCATCTGCTGTGATCTGTATCAATGGAAAGCACATCTCACTTCCAAACTGCTGGTTTGCATCAGAGTTGATCTGTTATTTAAATAAATCCATATTTAAATAAAATGACCTTGGTTTCTTTCACTTCTTTACATCTTGTAACTGAGATGACATTTAACATTTTTCATATGAAGCAGAAGATTCTTGATCTGTTCTGATGCCATGAAATGAAGAGACACAAGTGTTTTCAATCACAAAATGACAGAAGCTGACCAAACTGGCAGTTTGTGTTTTCCCACACAAATCCAGCACAGTCCATGGAGAATAATAGATGGCCTGTTTCGAGACCATCATTCTTGGTGCTGAAAAATGATATCTTATGTATGGGCTAAATAAAGCACTTCAGAGAAATAATCTCTTTGAAGTCCAGAATTTTAAGGGGGTTTTTTTTGTTTGTTTT